GGACTCATTTCAGATGAAGAGACCAAAGGTCAGAGTGGTCCTACAGCTCGCCAGGAGGGACCCCCCCCCTCCACCAGGTCTCCATAGCTTCAGAGCCCAGATGCTAATCACCACCTCACACCGCTGCTTGAGAGATCCTGTCTGAGATTCTCCCCAGGAAAGCTACAGAACACAAATCCTCCCACCCCTGCCCTCCACCGAGGGTTCGCGGGTCTTTTTAAATTTTTTTAAGTAGGCTCCATGCCTAACGTGGGGCTTGAACCCACGACCCCAAGATCAAGAGCCTCATGCTCTACCGACTGAGCCAGCCAGACGCCCCTGTTCTCAGGTCTTATACTGAAACATGTGAACCTTCTAAACGGAACCTGCCCCTTCCCCACCTTTTCCTTGCTTCCTGGGGAATCGGATGAAGGTTGGCCAGAGTTAGCTCAGTGTTAGGGAAGTTGTATCTTTCCAGAGTTGCGGTTGTGTGTGTGTGTGTGTGTGTGTGCGCGCGCGTGTGGCCTGATTCAAACTTCCCTTCTTTGTCATATTGGTCCCCCCTCAGAGAAATCTTTGAAGTGGAAATGACCTTACTATATGATTACTAGCCAGGTTAAGTCATATGTGCAGTTGGTCGCTGTTGCTTATCTCTACGACGGGGCCCCTGGTTCTGGAGGATGTAAACAACCATCTCAGGGAGGCCAGAGGTTGTAAACTCGAGATGCTGATATTTAAGAGTTTGACTCTACCACTGAGTGACCTTGGGAGCCTCTGACCTGTTTGAGCCTTGGCTTCCTCATCTCTAGAATGGGGACATGCATATATCTATCTTAATGCCTGGCTGTAGGTGGGGAGAAAGAGGTCAAGCTTTTCTCTCTCTCTTTTTTTAAAGATTTTTAAAAAATGTTTATTTATTTTGGGGAGAGAGAGAGAGAGAGATTGAGAGTGAGCATGAGCGCGGGGGAGGGGCAGAGAGAGAGACAGAGAGAGAGAGGCAGAATCGGAAGCAGGTTCCAGGCTCCGAGCTGTCAGCACAGAGCCCGACACAGGGCTCGAACGCACAAACCGCGAGATCATGACCTGAGCTGAAGCTGGACGCTTAACCGACTGAGCCACCTAGGCGCCCTCAAACTTTTTGTGTTAAAAAAAACATTTGGGGGGCACCTCGGTGGCTCAGTCGGTTAAGCGTCAGACTCTTGATTTCGGCTCAGGTCATGATCTCGTGGTTCATGGGATCGAGCCCCACGCTGTCAGTCACATGGGGCCTGCTTGGGATTCTCTCTCTCTCTCTCTCTCTCTCTCTCTCAAAATAAATAAATAAATGAGCTTAAACATCATTTAAAAACTAACATGTTCCACGAATAACATACAATTTTTATCCCTATACTTTAAGAAACGTTGGCTTGAAAAAAATCTGTCTGAACGCCAAACAGCATCCGAGCACCTGCTGTGTGCCCAGCACTGCATTGGGCCCTTGGAAGACTGGGTGGTGTTCCCCCACTCGAGGGTGTGTCCTGCGCCCTAGGCACGAGTGAAACTCTTTGCCTGCTCAGGCCCGCCCTTAACGCGACCCCACAAGGTGGCCGTGACCGGGATCGCCATTTCCTGGGTGAGGAAAATGAAGCGATGACCCCGAGGTAGTCTCTGCCCTGGAAGAGCTACATCTCCTGGGACAGACCAGGGAAACACCTGGCGTACCAGGGGGCACCCAAGGCCGTGTAACTGACCCCGCCTATAAAGAACCACTAGAAAGACCTCCCTGGGACCTTGCCTTAAAAAGTCCCCCTTGTTGGTAGGTCGGTATCAGGGTTCTAAGCCCTTTGCTGTGGCTGCTGGCGGAGGGCACGTGTTTTCGATCTCACAACGGACTGCTCTTGAGTTGGCTTGGCCTTCGCTGTGGTGTTCTAGTCCGTGGTGTGGCCCTTGGGGGCTGCCCCTGCACCCCGGTACGGGCGGGGGCCGGCAGCGGGTGGGTGGGGAAGCATTTGCTTCATTTAAAAAAAAAATTTTTTTTTAATGTTTATTTATTTTTGAGACAGACAGAGCGTGAGCAGGGGAGGGGCAGAGAGAGAGGGAGACACGGAATCCGAAACAGGCTCCGGGCTCCGAGCTGTCAGCACAGAGCCCGACGCGGGGCTCGAACTCACAAACCGTGGGATCATGACCTGAGCCGAAGTCGGACGCTCAACCGACTGAGCCACCCAGGTGCCCCTGCTTCGTTTTAAAGAAAACATCAGAAAGCAGGTGCCGCCGCTGAAAAATAATTGAGACAAATGCCCTTCCTTCTGTAACTCAAATTTCTAAGCTAATTCCTCTCTACGTTCCCACCAGAAAAGTCCCTCCTGCTGTTAGGCGCCCCAAGGCCCCTTGTTTCTCCAACAAGTAAAGTGCTTTTGTTCAGTGATAGAAGCTTTCGCATTTTAGGTTAATCAAGGGCAACGTTCGGCTCCCATCATCCCCTCGAGAGTCTGACCGAGCCCAGTGGGTTGACGGAATCCCACCCAAAGCAAGGACACGGGCTGGTGCATGTACTTTGTGGTGGCCTGGCCCTCAGTAAAGACGCAGCAACCATGGGAAATTTCAAGAGGCTGTAAACAGCACGGAGCCCCGCCCAGACAGTTTGTGAGGCCCTCCAGGGACCCCAGGTTGGGAACCGTGGGGCTAAGGCACTCTTGGACAATCCCGGCAGCCGCTCCCAGTTCCTCATCAAGGGATCCTCCTGCCGCACGGTGTCCCGGAAGAGCTCGGTGGCCGTTGAGACACCCTGACTAGGGTCATGGCTGTGTGACCTTGGGTAGATGGCTTTCCCTCTCTGAACTTCTGGGTGGCCCTGCCTCCCTCCTGGGTTGTGAGTGCTCTGTAGGGCCTGGGTGTCTTTGCTGTTGCTGCTACCTCTTGTTCAGGTCCCCATGCCCTGACCGTGTCACTGGATGTCTGCGACGCAGAGGGGGTGCAAAGGTGCAGAACCCCTGCGAGCAGCCATCTGTGATGGGACAGAGAGCCTGGAAGGGGAGCGAGGAGGCCCGATATCTGAGTGCGCCCCCGCTTTAACGTGCCCCCAGAGCACCTGGAGATCTTGTCCAAGTGGAGAGTCGATGCAGCGGGCCTGGGCAGGAGCACCCAGGTGAGGCAGCCGCAGGTGCCACTCCCTGGCCCGAGGAGGAAAGCAGGCCACGTTGTATCTGGAAGCAAGGGTTCCAGAAAGGCCTGAGAGCCCCAGAATGGCCAGGACGGGAAAGACGAGGCAACATGAGGGTAAAATTATGTTTTCACCAGAAGAAAAGATTTCTGCCTCCTTAGCGCGGAGAAAGATCTCTGTTCCCACCCCCACGCAGCCCCAGGGGCCCGAAAGAATGCGGTTTTCTGAGTGCAGCTTCCCTCACCGAAGGGGGTGGATTCGCTCTTAAAAAGTTGCCTGTAAAATGAATTTTTCTATATCAAATGCTATTTTCCAGTGGTCGTGTTTTAAGACCATGGTAGCGTTCCCACTGAGAAATATCTAACGCTGAGGCATTGGCCTTGAGGATGCGGCCAACGCGAGGGGTGGAGAGTTCATGGGTGCGGCCCTCCCCCACCGCCACGGATTGTTGGGGGGGGGGTGGCTACAGAACTCACGAGAGCTCGAACTGCAGAATTTGGGAACCAAAACCTGAATCCTAAATGGTCCCCTAATGGTCTGAGGTTCACGCCCAAGGGCCCTGACCAATATCGCCGAATGTAAGATTGGCTGGACCAGAGAGACCCAGAGCAAACCAGCCCCTCAACTGGAAAAGGAGCCCGGAGGGGCTGTCCGTCCTGAAGGGCTGGCCACCTTGTCTTTGTGTAGAAGGCCGTAGGCCACACTCTATCAGGCTGGGAGTGTTTTTGTTTTTTCTACTGGGCACAATCTTTTTTTTTTTTTTTTTTTTAACGTTTATTTTTGAGACAGAGAGAGACAGAGCATGAACGGGGGAGAATCAGAGAGAGGGAGACACAGAATCTGAAACAGACTCCAGGCTCTGAGCTGTCAGCACAGAGCCCGACGAGGGGCTCGAACTCACGGACCGTGAGATCATGACCTGAGCCGAAGTCGGCCGCTTAACCGACTGAGCCACCCAGGCGCCCCCGGGCACAATCGTTTAATATACTCAAGGAGCTTGCTGCCGTGACCATTTGGCTGTGTCTCCCAAAGAGTGTTCTGGGGGCTCTGAAGCCAGTGTTCCACAAAGACTCCTGAGACAAGCAGGGTTAAGAGAAGGCTAGGTTTCCTCGCCCAAGGCGGGGGGCGGGGGTGCGGGGGCGCGGGGGTGGGGGGCCGGGCCCCGGGGGTTCTGCTTGGATATGCCAAGGAACGCTGCGATTCTCGAATAAGAGACTCAAGTCAGTCAGGCCACATCGGACAGACTGTGCTTTTCATCCTATTCTGGGATCAGTATTGCACAGAACACACTTTAGGAACCAAGTCAATGAAAGGCTCTCGTAACTAAAAGGCTCTGTTGCTCAATTAGTTCCCTGCTGCTGCATGAGAAATCACCCCAAACTTAGCGGCTTGAAACAATAAGCATCAATCTCAAAGTTTCTGTGGGTAAGGGCGGGGAGGGCTGCGTCATCCGACGGCTTGACTGGGGCCGGACGGTGGTCTCCAAGATGGCGCACTCATCGGGCTGGTGAGGCGGTGCCGGCTGTTGGCCAGGAGACCTCAGTTCCTTGCCCCAGGGACTTCTCTGGAGGGTCCTTCTCTGGACCTAACCTTGGGCCATTTCTGCAGCATCCTATTGGTCCCGCGGGGCAGCCGTATTCACGGTGGCGGGGCCTACAGAAATGTGAACACCGGGGGGCGCCTGGGTGGTTCAGTCGGTTGAGCGTCTGACTTCGGCTCGGGTCATGATCTCACAGTTCGTGGGTTCGAGCCCCATGTCGGGCTCTGTGCTGACGGCTCGGAGCCTGGAGCCCGCTTTGGATTCTGTGTCTCCCTCTCTCTCTGCCCCTCCCCCGTCCACACTCTGTCTGTCTCTCGCTGTCTCAAAAATAAAATAAAACATTAAAAAAAAAAAAAAAGAAAAGAAAAGCAATGTGAACACCGGGAGGTAGGAATCGTCTGGAGATCATCTTGCAAGTTGACGACCCAGTAACCAATCACTGCGGTATGGGAAGGTAACTTGCCTCATTCGCACAGTTGGGTTCTTGCCATTGAGTGTCAGTTAGGAACTCTGACTAGTGACCTGCTAACCTATGATATAAGGAAAGAGGACGAGGACAGGGAACGAAAGGAACCGTAATAACCCAGCCCCATTTATCGAGTGCTCCCCCTGTGCTGGGTGCCTCTCGGGCATCATGGCGACACGCAATCCTTGTCCCCAACCAGTGGGTTCCAGCAATGTTTCCAAGTTAGGCCACCCCTTCCTATGAAACGCACAAAATGAGATTATTTTGTGATGAGGGCGATAAGAGCCCAAGTAGGTCTGCCTTCTAGAAGTTCAGAGACCAAGTCGGTGACCCCGGGTGAACCCATGTGGAGAAGGCCGGAGAGTGAACTTCGGAGGCATAAATGCCAAAGATAAACAGATAATAAATGGCTGAGATAAAATATTTATTTCACGTACGTGGACAAGACGCGGGATCGGGGTGAGCCGGGGTGGGGGTGTGGGGGGTCTTGGGTTTACCGGAGCCTCGTCGCTGTGAGAAGTGATCACATCCTCAGGCTGGGAGGCAGTGAGGCCTAGTGTTCAGGAGCGGGTTCCCTGGGGGCCTGAGACACCCGCACCCCCCCAGGCCTGCCCATTTGCGGTTAGCTGTGCGACCCCAGGCAGGTGACTCCACGGTCCTCAGTTTCCCGTCTGCAAAATGGGGTGGTAATGGCGGGCGCCTCCAGCTGCGATGATTCAGGGGGACGATCCCTGACCCAGCACGAGGGCTCGGGGATGCTTTAACCCGTGACAAAGCGGACGGCAGCCCGCCATGGCGGTGGCACCCCAGGTTCAAGGAACCCTCGCAGAAATGTCATTTGCCTGGAAGGAGCCTTGCTCTGTGACCACGAGTGGACCCGCAGCCACAAAATAGACATCCGCTGTCGCTCGGGCCTCCTGCAGGGGTGACCCCAGAGGGCTGGAAGGAACCCAGCCCCTCCTTCCGCTTGGAGCATGTGCAGGCATGGAGCCTGCCCAGCCCCTTCCTGTCCTGTTGGGGCATGATTTTAACAGAGGGAGCATCCTGGGTGTGTTGCGCCGCCGCCCCCCCCCCCCACCCATAAGTCTCAACCCACCGAGCAGGTCTTGGGGAGCTCTGGCTAAATCTGCTGTCCCTGCAAATGGACCAGGTATGGACTCAGAAACGGAATGCGGGCACTGGTCCCCGACCCACCAGCCTGCGTCTCCGTTGATGGAGGGTGTTTGAATGGCAGGTGCTAAACGCAGGTCTTTGGGTCAGGCTGGCCTGGGGAGCCCTTGGCTCTATCCCTTGGGGCTGTGTGACTCTGGGCAAGTGCCTCAGCCTCTCTGGGCCCCCGTTCCCCCATCCCTACAACCCCGGATGGACTCACCTGCTGGCCCTCCGTCCGTTCCGAGGAGCCTGGGGCCAGCCAGGAAGACACAGAGATCGCCCGGGCGTGCATGGGGCAAGTCCAAGGACACCCCTCTCCTGTCCAATCAGGGCAACTCTGTTTCCATCTCCTGGGTATGTTGGTGTTCTGGGTAATGCTTCATTAAAACGAAAGAGAAGGAGAGGGAGAGAAGAAAATGTGTCCACAGTGGAAACAATACGGTCTAGAAGTTTCCTACCAGCTTACGTTGTCCTCTGGCTCATTCTTTCAAGCTCCAAGGGAGCGGAGGAGCAGACACGAGCTGGGTTTAGTGACTGCCAGTGTCCAAACGGTTCTTGGTTTTCTGGGCTTGGGGGGGGGGGTCTCCTCTGTGGGTGCCAAGGTCACAGGCAGGCTGGGCAGGCTGGCCTCCTCCCTGAACACGTGCGCTGCCACACCTGCCCCCAGGGGAAGCTGTCCCGGGGTCTGTTTCTTCACCTGTGCAGGGAGGAGGCCACGGGCCTGAATGATCTCTCAGCCCCTCTTAATGTCAGCGCGCTGATTGCTGCATTTATGGAGCTCCAGCTGTCTGCAGAGTGGGGTCTGGAGCAGAGGAGGAGCCGGCCTGAGCCCGCTGCCTGCGGCCGGCCTGGCGACCGCAAGGCTCAGAGTGGCCACCCGGGCCCCAGGAGAATCCAGTGCCAGGCCCGGCTGCCAGGCTGCCATTTGAAATGTCTCCTGTTGGTGGCACTTTGGCGTGGTTCAGGTGTTCTGGGCTTAGACTGTATCTGGTCTGTGAAAACATGCGAGCTCCCTCTCTCTGTTAAGGTTCTGTTTTTCACTCGAGGGAATCCTAGTGCCTAGAGTTGGATCTGACTGTGGCGTTCCCCTGGTGGAACCATCCATGGCTCCTCACTGCCCTCGGAAGACAGTCTGAGCCTGGGAGTGGCCCCAAGGCCTTCTGGAGCCTGGCGCAGGCCAAGCCCTCCCACCTGAGGACTCTCCACCCCTCACCCTCTCTCCTTCAGACACACAGACTGGAACATGCCGACCTCTCCCTCTCTCTTCTCTCTGGAGCCTCGCGTTGCTACCTAGAACACCCCTCTTTTCATGGCTCCCTAAATGTCACTTCCTCCAGGAAGCCCTCCCTGCCTAATTGAGCACTTTAGCTCGTGCTCAGGCTCACCCTGTACTTCTCCTTTGTAGCGCTCATCATGGCAATGATCTAAAAAACTCCTCTTTATCTGATAACCCCTCTCCACTCACACACACACACACACACACACACACACACACACAATGGAACGTGGGCTCCATGAGGACCTCCCTGTCCAATTACCCAGGCCCAGCATCCCGGGAGAGCTCTGGAAATGTCTGCAGAGTGAATCCATGACGGGAGACTGCAGGGACCCGACATACAGCCTGTTGACTCAGGCTGGTCGCCTGGGGCCGGCTATCCACCTGACCCGGTCACTCAGAACCTGGGAACCCCGCTGGCCACCCAGCTCTATCCTCGCGGCCCCGAAGGCTCTGCCTGGAAGGACGGAAGGGGTTAAGCGTTCCTGGCGGCCTCGTGCTGTGTCTGCGGCAGTTCCCCCTGGGGGGGGGGGGCAGCAGCCTCCGAGGTTGGTGAGGAATGTTTGCAATGCAGAGCTGGGAGGGAGGGCCGGCTGCTGGAAGTGGAGGCGGCAGGGCCAGGCTCCCCAGTTGAGCAATCGCCGGGGCCCAGCCGGTTCCTGTAACTCCTGCCCCTCCCGCCTTTTCCCGCCCTGCCGGCTTCCTCCCCCCCTGCCTGCCCGGCCTGTACCCTGGAGCCTGCAGAAGGCACTGAGGCCCAGAGAGCTTGGAGGCCAGAGGTGAAAGGGAGGGACTTCCAAGGGGAGACAGAGGAGTACAGTCAGCTCAGCCACCTTGGCCCAGAGAGGGCAGGGCCTTTGCCCAAGGTCACACAGGGAGGCACCGCCCACCGGAGTGGGAAGCTCTCCCCACTGAAGGCAAAGGCCCCCCTCCCCCAGCCCTGGCTGGGCTCTTCGCTCAAGCCCCAGGGGCTCAGAGAGGATGTTGGCTCTCGGGGGGGCTGGGCGCAACCCTCCCCTCCCCACCTCCCTGGTGCTGCCCACTGCTTAGCCTGTCCTGGGGCCGCTGGTCACCTCCACCCGTCACCTCCAGGAGTGCGGCGTGAACGGATGGAGGACAAACTCGAGCTGGTTCTCGAAAGCCCCCTTTTCCTTCCTTATTCCAGTCCCCTTCAAGGAAGGACCTTCACGGTACCGCCCAGGCACCAAATGAATTTCTTTCTCCGCAGGCACACCCGCCTTCTCTGGGAGAACAGCATTCCCCGACACCCCGGAATGAGCTCCGTCCGTCCCCTGACAGTACTGACCAGTGCCGTCTGGGGTCTGGGGAGGCCCCTCCACGGTCACTCGGAGCCCATTGGAATCTCCGGCTCCCCCTGTCTCAAGCCTCCTGGTGGTGGCACCTCTTACAGAGCCTCAGTTTCCGTATCTGTAAAGTGGAATTAAGGGAGGGGGTGGGCGGAACGGGCGGCAGTCTGTTTCTGCTAAGGCTCTGGGCCCCTTGCCTTTCGTGGTGCTAGGGACAGTCCTCCGGGGCTTGCTCAGGGTAATACTGGGACCCCGCGTCTCTGGAGGGCGGGGTAGGTGACCCGAGTGAGCTAGACGTTCCTCTGAGAATCACACACCCCATTTGCAGGTCAGGAGGCTCGAGGGAGCAGCGCCTCGCCAGGCCACGCAGGCGTAGGGAGGGAGTTTAAAGCCAGGGAGGAACTTTAGCACCCACCGGGCAGGGGGAGACGCCCCGCCAAAGGGTCACAGCCCACGGGGTGAGGGGAGCTCAGAGTGGCCGAGCCTCTTGCTTTTGGGGCGCACAGCCGGCCCGGCCAAGGGCCCGCCGCCGCCCCGGCTGACGGCGGCTCCGCGTCCCCGCTCCCTGTCCGCGGTGCACCGAGGCCGTGGCCGGGAAGGACCCCCACAGCCGGCTGGGCTCCCGCGGACAGATGGACAGATGACGGCCGCCCCCTCCCAAGGCCCGCGGGCTGCCTGGCTTCGCCACCTCCTCCCGAGCAGGTTTCCTTTAAGAAACCAGAAGATTGATTTCCTGGCAGGCTCTGCGCCGAGGAGCCCGTCCAAATGGTTTGCATGTCTGCATTTTTTACTGCTCCGTTTAATATGTATGCAAATGCCGGCCGGCTGCGCCCGCCGCGGCCGCACAGTCACACGCGGCGCCCCATTAAAGCGGCCGTCCGGGCGCGCGCCTCCTTCCAGGCGACGCGCTCGGGCCCTGATAGATGGGGTGCGGGGACGGAGACAGATGACGGGCTTTGTAATTTCTTTTTCTCTTTTTCTGGGGGGGGGGGGGTTGCGGCTCAGACTGGAAACGGCAGAGGAGATTTAAATATATGCAAAATTGTTTGGGGGTGGGGGGGGCGGTGGGTAGAAACCTGAACGGGGGAGAGAATTCAGCGTTTCCTCCATAGGAGTCGGGCTGGAGGCTGGAGGGGGGAGCCAGAGCCCCCACAGTCACCTTCTGGCGGAGAGAGCGGCTTTGCTCCTGATAAGCAGGCACGGTGTCCTACGGGAAGGGCTGCTTCAGCCGCAGTGAAAAGGAAAATGCTGGTTATTTTCAGCCTGGCTTCACCTGGGGGGGTGGGGGTGGGGGTGGGGGGGAGGCACTGGCGGGAGGTATTCCCATCCCACCCCCACTTTCTTTTCTGGGGCGTCCAGAGCCTATCACGTTATAGTGAGAGTGAGACACCGGCCCCGTGGGGTAGGTCACACCCATTGTACAGATGGGGAAACCGAGGCTTGCTGGAGAGAAGCCCCTTGGGAAGGATTGCAGAGTGACTGTTGTGGGGGGGGGGCGGATTAGGAATACTAGAGCCGCGTTCTTGACCCCCGCAGCCCTCAGCCATCTCTTGCTCTGTGGAGTTTGCCCCCCCCCACCATGGAATCTGCCTCCCTCCCCATCCACCCACGCTCTCTACCCCTCTCCACCCGGCCCCAGCCTCCTACCTGCCCCCCACCTGCCTGGTAAGTCAAGATCGCCCCTGAACGAGCCTGAGGACTGAGCCCCAATGTTTCAAAATATCGTTGAAGCCTAAAAGTCAAGGGGTGACGTTGAAAAGCCTCTTTCTGAATTTCCCAGGGTTTCAGGCGATGTGGCAGCTGGGGGGCAGCCTGGAGGATCATGGGAGCACAGAAACGGTTCACAGAGGGGGCTGCGGCCTCGAGAGAGGGCCGTTCTGGAGCGGACGACAGACAGACCGACAGAAATTTACCTTTGGGTGCGTGTGAACACGCAGTGCGTTTGTGCACCGTGTCCGGCAGTCCTTATGAACGTGTCTGCGTTTACGTGCATGCCGGTGTTTGCCGGTGCAAGGGTGGGGCTGCGTGTGTCCGTGCTCACGAGTGTGTGTGTCCATGTGACAGCGGCTGAGAACTCCTGTCCTCAGGCTGGCAAGCCGCCGGGGTGCGAATTTCCCCGCGGGTTGCCTCCTCCTTGTGGGCGGGCCTCATTCGCCCCGGGCCTCACCACGGAGCCGAACCAGGCAATGACCCCAGGTCCCAAGTCTTCCCTTGACTCACCTCTGCCTCAGGATCGTCCACCCTTCTTCCACGCCTCCTCCAGATGGGCGTCACTTTCCCGAGCTGGCCCCAACCTCAGTCACCACTGTGGTGCCCGCGGTGATTATTGCCTGAAAGCTGTTTGCATCACGGAGTCAAGAAAGTTCTTTCATTGAGGGCATGTTTTTCAAAGCTCTTTCTTCTTCTTCTTCTTCTTTAACCTTTCTTTCTTTCTTTCTTTCTTTCTTTCTTTCTTTCTTTCTTTCTTTTGAGGGAGAGAGACAGAGCATGAGGTGGGGAGGAGCAGAGAGAGAGGGAGACGCAGAATCGGGCTCTGAGCCGTCAGCCCAGAGCCCCCACGCGGGGCTTGAACCCATGAATTGCGAGATCGTGCCCTGCGCCTAAGTCAGACGCTCAACCCACTGAGCCACCCAGGCGCCCCCATTGAGGGCATTTTGAATGCACATCAACATTGCTCCTGTCTGAGTACCTCCTGGGGCGGGGGAAGGGGGGCGACTTCTGAAGCATGCCCTAAAGCCGGCCTGAAGCCTAGAGAGGCAAGGGTGCTGAGCCTGGGTCAAGGGGGAGCCCTGACCTCCCCTAGAAGGAATTCCTGTGTTTGTGCAATCGCTTGCTGAGTTCCTCCTCCTGCTCCAGGAGGGCAGGACCCGGGTCTTCGCGAGGAGTCCCCTCAAACCGTCCAGCACCCGGTAGCGGCTGGACAGTAGCTGTTGAAATAGACAAGCGTGATGGACGAGTCAGCGAGTGCGCGCATTCTGGCAACCCTAGGCCTCCTGCCCTGTGGCCCCCTTGGGGTGTGCGCCCTCACTCCCCAGCTGGCTGGGGGGAGGCTGCTGTGTGTGGACCAGCTGAGTCAGGCCCTCACCCTGGGCCACGGGCCACCGTGGCTGTCGCCGATCTTGCTGACGGGGCTGAAAATGCATCGCACCTCCCTCTGCAGCCCGCCATTACTCATGGCTGGCGTTTATCCCCAAGCAAGGGATGACCCCGCGGAGCAGCCCGGAGCCTCCCACGTGTTCTGAGGCAGGGGTGGCCGGAGGCTGGACTCCGAGGAGGCACAGCAGGACTTGTGAGCAGCTGCTCTGAGTGCCGTGACCATATTTTTCTGAGCCGGACAGGCATGATCCTGGCCTCGTGGAACTCGTGTGGGGTGGCTGAGAGTCTGCAAATGCTCGCACGGTTCAGTACTGTGAGCATATGTGAGAATTGCTATGCGGGGGGGGGGGGGGCGGGGCGCGGCAAGGGTTCCCGAGTGGAGGAGCTTGGGGTACCCTGGAAGGCTTCTCTGAAGAATTAATGTTTGAGGGGAAACGGAGCCTCTTAAGGTGAACTGTTGAAGGGATGAGAGTGGGGTGGGGTGGGGAAAGCACATTTCAGGCAGGAAGGAGGGCATGTGCAAAGGGCCTGTGGCAGAAAGGAGTGCTGGGAGTCTGAGGGACAGGAGGGCAGCCCAGTGACCGGGATGTGATGAGCGATGGGAAGAGGAAGTTGGAGGTGTCGGCAGGGGCCAGGCCGGGCCGCGCCCACCAGTCCACGAGCGTGGGGTACGTTCTCCTGCTGGTCGCGGGCAGCCATGGACGGTTTGACACAGGTGTGACCTCACCATTCTGTGTGGAATGTTGTGATACTGAGGATGATGACGATGCTGGTAATTCTCGAAAGTCTTTAGTGAGTGCTTACTATGTGCCAAGCACCGGTCCAGCCATTTTACAGATGAGAAAGCGAGGGCTTGAGGGGGAGGGGGAATGGTTTATCCAAGATCACGCAGCTGGTGAATGGCCAAGCCGGAAATCAGACTGCCTCCGTCTGGCTCCGAAGGCCCTTGCTCTTGTCCCACACCCAAAGCTGCCCCCATCTGGATGCAGAAGGCCAAGGGACATGCAGATGACACCCGCCCCCTCCTTGCCTCATGCCTTGCTGTGGTGTTGCCTCCACTCTGCTCTGTGTCCCAGGCCTGGGGACTCTGGGTCACAGAGTCAGGCGGGGCTGGAAAGGCCCAGCTCAGCTCAGTTCCCATTGGGCCTGGTGGTGGGGGCGGGGGTGGGGTGGGGGAAGCGGGCGTAAGTAGAGGTTGCGACATCAGAGACTGAGGGTTCTGGAGAAGTTGGGACCCCAGGGGGGGGGGTAAGGGCCTCCACCCTAGCCCGTTCCCTGGGGCGCAGGTCACACTACCGTCCCGGGAGCAGAGCCTCACTCACCTGTTTGAGGGCTAAGGACTTTGAGACGTGGCGTCACTATCCCCGGGGAGCAGGGCATCACCCGAGGCGCCCGCTTTCCCCGGTGGAAGCAGGTCCGGATGATTGCCACACTACAGACTTACCAGTGGCATTTTAAACATTCTTCTTCTTCCTTTTTTTTTTTTTTTTGCATGTAAAAAATTCTTACTCCCCCAGTGATCATCGGAGACAGGAAACTCGAAAGCACATGAGATACCGCTCCACAGAAAGTAACAAGTGCTGGTGAGGATGTGGAGAAATTGGAACCTTGGGCACCATTTGTGGGGACGTAAAATGGTGCAGCCCCTGTGGAAGAACAGGATGGCGTTTCTTCAAAAAATTAAAAATAGAATTACCATATGATCCAGCATTTCCACGTCTGGGCATATACCCAAAAGAATCGCAAGCAGGGTCTCAAACAGATACATGTACACCCATGTTCCCTGCGGTGTTATTCACAATAGCCCAAAGGCAGAAACGACACAAGTGTATCCATCGACGCAGCACGTGGTCTATGCGTACAATGGAATATCATTCAGCCTTAAAAAGGAAGGCAGTTTGGACACAGGCTTCGCGGTGGATGAGCCTGGAGGACGTGGTGCGAAGGGAAATAAACCAGGCACCAAAGGACGAATACTGTATGATTCCACTCACACCAGGGACTTGGGAGGGGCAAATTCATAGAGACAGAAAGGAGAATGGTGGGTGCCAATGGCCGAGGGGAGGTGAAATGGGGAGTCTGTGTTTAACGGGTACGGAGTTTAGCAAGATAACAAGAGTTCTGGGGATGGATGGTGGTGATGGGGGCACACGGTGCTGGATGGACTTAATACTACTCCCAGGCTGCACACTTAAAAATGGCTAAGATCGAAAATTAAACAAAACAAAACAAAAACAGCCCTGCCCCCCCGTTATTCTGAGTTCTCTCAAGTTGTCAATGGCGGGCTTTCTTTTTAGTTACGTTTATAAGAAATAAACTAGGGGTGCCTGGGTGGCTCGGTCGGTTGAGCGTCTTGACCCTTGATTTTGGCTCAGGTCATGGTCTCCCGGTTTGTGAGTTCGAGCCCTGCATCGGGCTCTGCGCTGACAGCACGGAGCCTGCTTGCGATTCTCTGTCTCCCTCTTTCTCTGCCATGTGCGCGCACTCTCTCTCTCTCTCTCTCTCTCTCTCTCTCAAAAATAAATAAAAACTTTTAAAAAAGAGAAATAAATGAAGATATCGGATGGGCGTTGTATTAGAGCAGTTAAGAATCACAGATTCTGGTGTTCTTGGGCGGGCAAGTGACTTCACCTCTCTGAACCTCATTTTTCCTCATGGGGAACCGGGGATGATGATGGTGCCTCCCCCCTGGGGCCACTGAGGACTCCCTGATGTCCCCGAGGTGGTCGGCCCAGAGGCCGGTGTTCAGTGAGCGCTCAGCACCCAGCAGCCCTTAGGGCTGGCAAGATGCTCCTCAGGCCCCTGGGGTTTGGGAATACGAACAGCACAGGCCCTCCACAGTCAGTGGAGACAAGACCCCTTGCCACACCATGCACATGGGGACATCGAGGTCCGGAGGGGTCAAGGGACTTGTCTACAGTCTGTCGGCATCCCTTGAACCGGAATGCGGTTTTCCAAATCTGTATCGGTTAGCGAGGCTAGGTTCTGCTGCAGTAACAAATAGGCCTCACGTCAAAGTGTCTCAGCACAACAAAAGTTTGTTTTGCAGCCAGCGAGGTGTGCTGGGAGCCCAAGTGATTCTCTGGGGCCAGTGCCCCTCCAGGGATCCAGGCTGCCTCTGTTTTGTGGTACCTCCACGTCCGGGTCACCGAGGCAGGGGAAACAGCAGCACATCACTTCCTCCCAGAGTTCCTTGGCCATCGCCGGTCACAGGGCTTCACCCGGTGTGGGGGGGAGGGGGGGGCAGTCCCGAGAAGGAGAGAATTGGCCGTGGGTGAGTATCCCAGCGGGATAGAAACCAGTGAAGTGCATGCTCGTGGTAAACTGAGTCAAAGAGAAAAGGGTTTAGAGCTGGAATCGTTCCTCTTCCTGCCTGAGTACCCCCCCCCCCGCCCCCGCCCCGTTCCTGGGGCAACCATGGTTACCCTGTGGATTCTGACATTGCAAGCAGGGTGTGTATGAAGGTGCCCCTCTTGAAATACACATGAAGGCTTGTTCTTTTTCACTCCTTGGAGGAACAGGCAGGTATGTGTCAGGACCTCTTGCTCTCCCATCGGGCAGTGCCTTCACATTTATATATAATCAGTCTCCCCGGATGGGTGTCGAGGAGGTTTCTAAAGTTCTGCTATTATCAACAGTGATGCAATGAATTTCCTGTGCGTTTTCCCTTGTCACCCGTGTGAGTGTTTCTGTGGTATAAATTCTAAAAATGGAATCTCTAGGTCAAAGGGCGGTGCATGGAGCAGGCTGACAGCTCTCTGGAAGCCGGTGCTGTTTCTGGGGTCAGGAGGCGCTTTTAAGAAGAGGTGCTAATGGAGTGAGTTCCAGGGACCAGGGGGAGTTCTCTGCCCCCGGGGGGGCTTCCAGATGGGACACTGAGGAGGGGAAAGCCGGAAGAGGGCACAGCCTTTCTCTGTCTTGACTCTGTGATCGGGGATCCCAGTTCTCATACCGGGTGCTCGGCCAGGCCCATTTTACAGATGGCGAACACTGAGGTCTAGAGAGGTTGGGTCACTTGCCCACAGCTGCCCGGTGAGCAGCACTTGGGCCGCGGTCCCAGCCGGGGCTGAGTCCTCCTGGTTCGGAGATTCAAGCTGGAGACCTCACGGATCCTTTCTTTACCGGCTCCTCTCAAAGACACTTAGGTCCGCCAAGAGCTTTCTCTGGGGCAGTTTCTGAAACTCGTCTTCCCTTCCTCGGGGATTCCCAGGGTCTGGGTCTTTGCAGAACAGTCAGCCTGTTACTTTTTTGCTTTGTGATTTTCTTACCCGTTTCGTCCCATTGCAAGAGGGTGTGGGTACTTAGAAAGTTTGCTCTTGTGTCTTAAATTTTCTTTCCTTTTTGGGTAACGTCGCTGTTGTTTCTGGAAGAAAAAAACCAGTATACCCTTCCGGTAAAATCAATTCACGCAACACTGACAACTACGAGCAGAGTCAAAATCACCAACACTCCCCACCCAGAGATGACCACGGTTAACAGCTAATCGGTGCTAATGACCTCCCCACCTCCAAAGAGGGTGCCATCCCTGGTCCCTCACCTTCCAGACGCCAAGAGGCTGAGACCCAGCCTGCTGTGTGTCTTTCACTGATGGAAAGGCAAGTTGTTCTCTCTCTACTTTGCTCTGTTTCCCACTCCAACCCACCATTGGCAACATTGACTTTTTCTTTTTTTCTCTTAAAAAAATTTTTTTAATGTTTATTTATTTTTGAGAGAGAGAGACAGAGCACGAGCGAGGGAGGAACAGAGAGAGAAGGAGACACAGAATTCAAAGCAGGCTCTAGGCTCTGAGCTGTCAGCACAGAGCCCGATGCGGGGCTTGAACTCACGAGCCGTGAGATCACCACCTGAGCGGAAGTCGGATGCTTAACCGACTGAGCCACCCAGGCGCCCCCCAACATTGACTTTTTCTAAGTGCAAAGCAGGCCCCAGCTTGGGCCTGGGGGCTCCTATGTGTCAGGGGCTCTCTGGCAAGGTAGAGGGTGGGTCACCCCCAGGCTGTTTTTGTCAGACCTCCCTCTTGGGACGACCTTCACCTCCTGGTTCGGAGCCCTAGGGGAGGAGCCCTAGGGAGGAAGGGGCCCAGCTCAGGACTGGCCTTATTTCTCTGGGAAGAGCCATGATGTGGGGACAGCAGATTGTGGTGGCTCTAGGACCCAGTCTGATACAGATGTGAGGGGGAGAGAGATTGGGGCGAACAGGTAGGTGCATGGGGACGTGAGCAGCTATGCTTCGGGGCCTCTTGGAGGCACAAGGGCTCTGGCACTTGGAGAAAAACATCCATCGAGGAGTGGCAGATGTGGCTGTCACCCCCCAGTGGGGGCAGCAGGCGCCCCTGGCTGAGGGGTGAGTACGTGGATGTCAAGGCGGCTTTGCCCGGGACCATGGTTGTCTCCAACAGCAACTCCTCAGGCCTGTTCATTAGCCCCTGTGACTGAACACCATGCCTTCGTACGGCGTTCTGGGCCCTGTGCGTCCTCAGAGAGGCCTCCGGATGTGGAAGCCATGGTTTGGGTTTTGTCTGCTTACCCTTCGGGTGGTGGATTGGAGAGCGCGAGGTTACATAAGCGGGGGGACTTCAGGAAGCCATGATTCCCTGCTCCAAAGGGCTCCTAATTATTTACAGCAGTGGGTTTCAAAACTGGCTTTGTACACCCACTTTCCACTCTCAGCCTCGTGCTTTTCTTCCCTTCTCAGAACAGATCTTACCCAACTGATCCATACTGAACGAAGAAGGGACAGGGGTTGAGAGGCCACCGAGCCGGTCCTCCTCTTTGCCCCCACCCCCCATGGCCCCTAGGGTCCGTGAAAGGCTTAAAAATTACTGCTGTAGATCGGCGAGGGTGTCACCGGCCACCGGAGTGGCGGATAGATATCCAGAGCGGGGTCATCTTCCCAAAGCATTTCTCACTGTGCTTCGGTAAAAAAGACCACAGAAGGCAGAGAAACTCTTTAGATGACAGGCAGCTGTTTCTGAGGGTCGTGTAGGGCCTGAGGTCACTGGACTGGGGCAGGCTGGGCAACTGTGACCCCCAAGGGCCCACCTCCCCTCCAGGCCGCACCCACATGGTGTAGGACGTCCCTGTGGGAAGCACAGAGAGCCGGGTGAAGACACCCCTGTTCATGGCCAAAGCCAGACGCAGCCAGAACCCCCCCTCAGCCACTGTCCAGCTGCCTGACCTAGAGCAAGTCCCAGCTCCGGGCCTCGGCTTCCCCATCTGTAAAATGGGGCCCTGGGTGAAAGGCATGGGGGAATGAAAGGGGCCGCGGGGCCCTGAGCACAGCTCCTGGTAAGTACCGGATCTTAGCACTTGTCACCAAGCAGTAGTGAGGGTCCCAAGCAGGCCAAGGGCTGGAAGGAAGCCGGAACCCTCACCCCAAGGGGAATAGGGACTGGGCTAAGGTCAAACAGCAGGGTCAGGATTCAGGACCCAATGCCCGGACCTCCATGCCCAGAGTGGAGGCCACCTTCCACCCGCAGCATCGCATGGGGAGAAAATGCAGATTCCCTCAACCGCTAACCTCAGACTTCCGGGCTGCTCGCAGTGGGAGGGGAGACGCCGAACCCCTCCCAGCACCCAGAGAAGTTCCTGCCTCTCCTGCTGCACTTTATTGTGGGCAACCAAGAGGCTGCGTGCCGAGGGGGCATCCCCGGCCCGGTGTACAGATGAGGAAATCGAGGCACTCTGCTCAAGGCCACATACTGTGACGGACGGCCCTGATTGCTTTTCCCCACCCCTTGCCTGAGTTTTAGGAACCGGCATCACACCTTCATGACCTGTGCCCCATGCAACCTTCGTGTCTCCCAAGCTGTGGGGATTCCTCAGAAGGGCCTGGAAAGCCTCCAGACTCCGGGACAGATCTGAGAGTGGTTTCAGCCCCAGAAAGGAAGGCAGTCCCTGGCACCACTGTACAGAGGGGGAAAGCGAGGCTCAGCCAGCTGAGGGGTTGCTCAAGGTGTGTGTCGGGGCGGGGGCGGGCAGCAGGGTGGCCTTTGGCCCCAGCCCGGGCCCTCCTGGGACAGCAGGCGCTCTGGGCTCAGCTCCCACCGCACCGCGCCCAACTCCAGTGTCCCCGGTCCTCTGGAGGAAGATTTCCGTGGTCCCGGTTGGGGGTGCCAGACTGCCAGTGACGAGTGTTTTTTTAATCCCGGCCCCGCTGACTTCGACGATTATTCTTATTTAAGGCAGGGACGAAACGCCAGAGCATGGCAGCCGGTCACCTCCGGGCGGCGGCCCCTCCTCGCCTGCCTCCGGTGCTCGGCTCCTGCCGGAGCAGGAAAGGGAGGGGGGAGACGGGAAGCAGGGGGAGGAAAGGCGGGGAGGAGAGGGGGCCAGGGGAGGAGGGG